GGGCGCTTTCTTCTTTCCTCTCTCCTGTCCCCGAGTGCGTGAACCCTCTTCTGCCCTTCCCTCCGTCGCTGTCGACCCTCTTCCCGAGGCCGCCTTCCGTCGGTCTGTCTCGGGACCTCCCTTCCGTCTGGGTGTGTGTCTGCCCCCAACAGGCTTCCTCCGGTTGGGCTCAGGTCGACCCCACCACCCCGTTCTGCCTGGCGGTCTCAGGCCCTCCCTGCCGGCTTTCCTCCGCTGTTTTTCTGTCTCTGGGCTCCCGTTCTCTTTGTCTCTGGACTCCCCAGTTTCGTCCGTCTGTTGGACCCCCTCAACTCTGATTCTAGATCCCCCACATTTCTCTGGAACGCCGAGGCAGATTCCTCCTGTTGGTTTCCAACCCGCCCCTCCACCATCCCTTTCCCACTTGAAGCCCCCTTTCTCTGTCCGGTGGGGCGTCTGTGTCTCTGGATACTCCACAGCCCCCACCGCAGTCCTCTGTGTTTGGGTCATCTACCCAGCCTCTCTCCTCCCAGCCTTTCCTCCTCACCACCTCTTGGCTGTCGGTGATTCCCTCCAAATTCTCAGGGTTCTCTTCCTCACTCGGCCTCAGGTTGTGGGGGTCTCGGTAGCCAAGCGTGTCCTGGTGGGTCGTCCTCCCTGCTGCCCCTTCTGTCCCCCACCAGGGCCTGTCTGCCTTCTTCCAGTTCCTGTCACATTCTTTTTTTCTCTCTCTTTCTCTAGCCACCCTGAAGGGTCCCTTCCCAAGCCCTTAGGGACGGCAGAGGACTTGGGGACCAGCAAGCAACCCAAGGGCACCAGAAGAACCTCCTGCTGCCTGCCCTGCCTGACACGAGGCCCCGTGGCCCCCGGCTGCATCAAGTGGAGGAGGAGGAGGCGGAGGAGGGTGGCACCATGGGCCCGGGCGGTGCCCTCCATGCCCGGGGGATGAAGACACTGCTGCCATGGACAGCCCATGCCAGCCGCAGCCCCTGAGTCAGGCTGTCCCTCAGTTACCAGGGTCTGTGTCAGATCCTTTGGAGCCTGGCCGGGCCAGGATGGGTGTAGAGAGTTACCTGTCCTGTCCTCTGCTACCTGCCTACCACTGTCCAGGAGCGCCTGGTGAGGCCTCAGCTGGGAGTGGGACTCCCAGAGCCACAGCCACCTCTACCACGGCCAGCCCCCTGCGGGAGGGCTTTGGCGGGCAGGATGGTGGTGAGCTGCGGCCATTGCAGAGTGAAGGTGCTGCAGCACTGGTCACCAAGGGGTGCCAGCGACTGGCAGCTCAGGGTGCCCGGCCTGAGGCCCCCAAGCGGAAATGGGCCGAGGATGGTGGGGATGCCCCTTCACCTAGCAAGCGGCCCTGGGCCAGGCAGGAGAACCAGGAGGCAAAGGGGGAGGGTGGCATGGGCTGCAGCTGCAGCAGTGGCAGTGGGGAGGTGAGTGCTGGGCTGACAGAGGAGGCACTTCCCTCCCCACCTGAGCGCCTGGCCCTGGACTATATTGTGCCCTGCATGCGGTACTATGGCATCTGTGTCAAGGACAGTTTCCTGGGGGCAGCCCTGGGTGGCCGCGTGCTGGCAGAGGTGGAGGCCCTGAAGCGGGGTGGGCGCCTGCGAGATGGGCAGCTAGTGAGCCAGCGGGCGATCCCACCGCGCAGCATCCGCGGGGACCAGATCGCTTGGGTGGAAGGCCATGAGCCAGGCTGTCAGAGCATCGGTGCCCTCATGGCCCATGTGGACACCGTGATCCGCCACTGTGCCGGGCGACTGGGCAACTACGTCATCAACGGGCGCACCAAGGTAAGGCTGGGCGGTTGCCTTCTGTCGAGGGACTTTGCGGCACATTTGGTTGTGGCCCAGTGCTCTGGGCATGAGTGGGTTTGGAGACAGACTTCTGGGGTCACAAAAGGGTTTAGGCAGCTTCAGTGGGGGGGTTGCTCTCCACTGTTGAGACTGTGGGTCTCTGTCCTCCCTTTGGGTCTTAGTCTGTGCATCTGTAAACCAGGGACTAGGGTTAGAGCCTCAGTGGTTCTTGACCTTGCTGGGAATCCCCTGAAGAAACTGACGAGGAGTGCTGACATTAATAGCTTCCTGCCTGGACATAAACCCTGGCGGGGTTCATGGCCCCCCTTATGTCTGTTCATGGGCCCCAGACCAAGAGTAGTCGAAGTAGACAGGCACACGTTTCTGCCTCTGTTTCTCTACATGTTTGTCCTGTCCATGTCCTTCCCCGTTTCCCTGTCCTTCCATCCATTCCTGTCTCTTTCTGCTGGCCTGTCTTGTCTGTGCTCTGTCCATTCTGTCTCCCAGGCAGGAGAATCAGAAGCTGGAGCTGAAGGGTGACAGTGATGAGCGAACAGCCGGGCTGAAGGAAAGGATGCTGCCTGCTGTGCTGAGTGCCTGGCCCTGGGCTGCACTGTGCCCTGTGTGCCTACTGTGGCATCAGTGTCGAGGACAGGTCCTGGGGTTGGCGCTGGGTGGCTGCTTGCAGGCCCAGATGGAGCTCTTCTCCCCAATTTTCCCACCCATCCCTGTCCTAATCCCTATCCTCCGTCCCTTCTGTCATGATTGTCACTTCGTCCCTGTTTCGCTTCCCTTGATCTTTTGCCTTTGTACGTGCTTTATTTTACATTTGGTTTTGGAGGAGTAGTTCTTTGTATTTTTTGGAGCCTAGGACTCTCTGAGAATCTGGCAGACCCCCCC